GTGCTATGCGGCAGGTAAATCGGTTATTTGACAGAGGAAGTCTCACTTCATGATCTTTTATTTAACTAGTACATTTCAGTGGGAAGAACCTGCTCATGTTTTATATATGTAGGTTTATTGTTACATATTAGACTACTCAGCAGTAGTTCTTCTGTACTTTAATGGGATTTTAAACACTTTACTTGTAATAGATTTTTTATTCTGATTCAGTGTTTGTTGAGTGCTTCTTAGGCCGGGGTACGTGCCTCTCCGTGTAGAATTGTTCATTTTGTGAAAGCAGAAAGCAGCAAAGAACCCTCAGCTCCTGCTTTGTCACATGCTGAGTCTCCCTGCCTCTTCTAATGAAATACTCCTTCTAATTAAGCAAAAGATTACATTTTCCAAAAGCAAATGTCCTTGGCATACGGTGTAAGCCCTTCCAGCTGCTTTTTTGTCCAGCCCTAGAAAGCATCACATTCCATGCTGGAGTAGCTGAGCCCATCCCCTTTTTCAATACTGCCTTAGAGAAAAGAAGGGTTTTTTTGGAAACTTTCTGGGCTTACAAAAAGGGCTGAGGTGGAGAGAACAGAAGGTGTTGTCCGTCCCTCACAGACAGATCACGAAACATCCAACACCAATTCTGTATTCGGGTTTTTCTTCATTTTTAGCCGCTGTTTTTGAGAAGGCTCTGCATCAGAGAGAAAACAACTGCTTTTTGACTGTTAACGGGCCTTTATTTTATACAAAGAGACCTGCAATGTCTCTGCGAGGTGATGTGTGCGTGGTGACGGGGGCCTGTGGATTCTTGGGAAAGAGGCTGGTGAGGCTGCTGCTGGAAGAAGAGAAAATGGCTGAGATTCGACTTCTGGACAAACAGATGCAGCTGCAGTATTTGCAGAGTTTGGAGGGTAAACCGTTCTTTTCTACAAAACATCCCCTTTTCCAGATTAAAATACATGAATTGATATGAAATGGGCAGGAGTAGATTTGTCTTATATATATTCTTTTACTGACATAATCGAAGAATATACCAATATAAAGATTTGAGAATTCAGCTTTTCTGACTTCCTCAATTAAAAGCTGTAATGTAAATGTGTTTTTAATGTCTCCAATACAGTAGATTGAAAACCAAATATTTGCTTTAGATTAAACTAAATAACTTGCGTCTTGCTGCTTTGTCTCGGTGACTGGTTTGTTTTGTGTCAGACTGCAAAGGTGAGACAAAGCTGCGAGCTTTCGAAGGGGACATGAGGGACGGTGATTTCCTGATCAAATGCTGCCGTGGGGCATCGATCGTTTTCCACATCGCATCCATCATTGACATCAAAGACTCAGTGGAGTACAGTGAGATTTTCGGAGTGAATGTCAAAGGTAAGGCTGTCACAAATCCACCGAAGGCTTACCTAATTCATGTGACTTCAGATACATTTATCAAATCACATACATAAAACAAAGAAGCAGAATTATTTACAGCTGAAAGTTTTTGTTTTTTGTACCACTGACATTTAAAACTGCTTTCATTACTTGTGTTAACTGGCCGTTGATCTGCTTTCACTATTACAGCCCAGTGCTTACTTCTACTTCCTCCAGTTCACACTTACTTTACACTCCTTAAAGCACTTGCATGTCATATGAATATTCCTGCTTCTTTGTTTTAGTTAAACCTACAACTGTCCAATGCATTTTAAAAACTGTTCACCAGCAAATCAAATGACAGTTTTCCTTCCTAGTACTGGGCAACAGTGTTGAGCCCTTCCTCATTTCTTTACAGCATATGAGGCAAAAACACCCTGTGCAATTCTAACAAGCTTGAAAGTCATTGTTTTGTATGACCACCTTTATTCTTCAACACAGCCCGAACTCTTTTATTCAAGCGTCCTTGTTTTTCTTAAGTAGCCTTCAAGATAAGTGTTCCCGGCCTCTTGAAGGACATTCAAAGCTCTTTCATACCATTTCAATAATGTTGAGGTCCAACTCTGGGAATGCCACAACTGATAATATCAAATTGTGTGTTTGTCTATATAGGTGTACTTTTACAGCATCAGCAGTGTGTTTCAGATCACTGTCGTTTTTGGTCGTTTATTTCTAGTAATAATTTGGCAAAGCTAACCTTCTCTCCCTGTTGCCTTGCCTTAAAAAAAAAAAAAATATATATATATATATACACATATATGTACATATATATGTATACAAACTTGTGTACCCAGTTCCTGTTTGTTTAAGTCTTTAAAGATTTTGCTGTACAATCATTCCTCTGTGGAAAAAAGAAGAGTTTGAATAAATAACTAAAACCTCAAAATTACCATAATATTCACGTCCGTGATGAGTGGATGTAAACTCCTAACCATAACTGTAGGTGCCTTTTTTATAATTGAGTGATTCACAGGGTGTGAATAGTTGCAAACATGTTTTTATCTGTGCGTTAGCCTTGCGACAGACCTGTTTGGGGTGTACCATACCCACCCACCTGATTTGAATAAGTGGAAGAAGATCACTAGGGGGAACACATTTTCCACTGAATATTTTATTCATCAAGATCCAGTGTGTGATTCAAGTGTTCTCTTATTTTTTAACATTTTGGTTTTTACCATGTTCAGCACCACAGCACAAGCGCCAGGTTTCATTATATATAATGTATCTTAAAGCAGATACATAGCAAAACTGGCAACCTGACACGAGAATAACCTGAACAGACAAACAGCAGTTAAATAATGAAGGGAAAATGCATAATCAGAGATGACATAATATAATTGCAGATATTTGAAAAGTCACTTTATTCACTTGTTGCTCTGATAACATAAAAGTTTTGTGCTGCTCTGAGATATGCAGTGTTTATTGTTAGTTATATTAACTCAGCAGCATCTTTGCCTCGTAGGAACCCAGCTGCTTTTGGAGGCATGTATTCGGGAGAACGTGCCGTCCTTCATATACACCAGCACCATTGAAGTGATGGGGCCAAACTCCAAGGGAGAACCCATAATCAATGGCAGTGAGGACACCGTCTATGACATCAGTTTGGGCATCAACTACAGCAAGACCAAGAGTGAGGCTGAGGAGAAAACCCTGAAGGCCAACGGTGAGGTGCTCCAGAACGGAGGCCAGCTAGCCACCTGTGCACTCAGACCTGCGTATATCTATGGAGAGGGCTGCCGCTTCCTCCTAGGCCACATGGTCGATGGGATAAAAAACCGAAATGTTCTGCTTCGTATGTCGCTCCCCGAGGCCCTTGTGAAGCCTGTCTATGTGGGCAACGTGGCCACCGCTCATCTCCAAGCATCCCGCAGCCTCAAAGATCCGCAGAAAAGAAATGCTGTTGGAGGGAAGTTTTACTTCGTTTCTGATGACACACCACCTGTGAGTTATTCAGACTTCAACCACGCCGTGATGTCTCCTCTGGGTTTTAGTATTCAAGAGAAACCCATGTTGCCACTCACCCTCTTCTACTTACTAACTTTCCTTATGGAGACAGTAGCCTGGATCCTACGGCCTTTCATACGCATCGTCCCGCCACTGAACCGTCAGCTCCTCATCATGTTGAACACGCCATTCAGTTTTTCCTATGAGAAAGCCAAGAGGGATCTAGGATATGTCCCCAAATATAGCTGGGAGGAAGCACGCAAACGCACCACTGAATGGCTCGCCTCCCAGTTGCCAGCAGAGAGAGAAAGAATCTTGTCTAAATAGATGAAAAATGACCAAAAGTCATTAGCACCCAAAATTAATACTTTTTTTTGTGAAACTGTTAAACATATAGACATAATTTGAAATTAACCATGGAATTGTGAAGTCCTGTTTTTAAGGCTTAACTTTCTAAGATAAGATAATAAACGTCATTAACCCACATGGGAAGTTTGATAAAGAGTGCTACACATACCTGCATTCACAGAAAACAGGGTTAAGTGCTAACCTTTGAACTAAGTCTAGCAAGCATATTATGGAGAGTCTAGGGGGACTGACATACATGTAGAGCCAGCCTCAAGTGAGCATTAATGAAACTACAGCTTTAATCATTTCCACATTGGCTTCAAGCTTGAATACCTACAACATGCACACCAAACACCACTAGCTACAGTAACAATGTTTCTGTTGTGTTTTGTTTCCATTCTTGCCAATTGTGATTTTTTTACATGAATAACACAGATTTATAGTTTTCCTGTGACAGTAAGCAGAAGTGTATAGCATGTGAAAACAGAGCATGAGTGTTGACATTTCTTTCAAATGGCATGTTTGTGAAAGTTTTTCAAAGTACACCTTGATAACTTTGTCATATGTTTTTGTTCGACTGACAACACAGCCACTAAAGTCATACTGTCTTAGAGCAGGAGCTGTGAATCTGTACTGCTAGCCATTTATCCCAAAATGACACAGAGGATATGTGCTCAATTAAAAAACTACTGCATGACCTGCTGTTTCTGTCTTACGAATACTAATAAAGTGTCTGTGAGAAAAAAAATTCCCATTCTCATTGTATTTTTACTGATGTTTTTTAGTAAAGCTCATCTCAAACTTCAGTGACATTGCAAACTTTGCCATTTGATAAAAAATAAACTCGCCGTACTTAAGTGGAGAGTCCACGTTGCACATACGGCTTTAAATCACATTAACACAAAGAAAATGCAAAGGATTACATTTGTGCGTGCATGAATGCATGTGTGTATCAGTGTTATTAGTGTGACATACAGTCAGACTGTGGAAACCTGCCTCTCTTTTTAACAACAAAAAGCAACTCCTCACGGTGTAAGTCATGCAGTTTGTGATGAACACTTGGATTAAGTATAGGTTAGGTTTCCAGAAAATGAATGTTGTCATAGAGACTGAATAGTGTGTGATGGACTCACATGAATTGCTTGATTATGTAAAAAAAAGAATTAAGACTCAAAAATCAGTTGATTACTGATTTCCAGATTTCTCCGGTCACTGTCTTATGCCTCTCTCTCAAACGCACACAAACGCACACACAAACTAGTGGGCAGCCAGGCCAGAGTCCAGCCTTTTAAACAAACAGCCATTGAATACAAATGAGGTCATGGATTCACCACCAGGCAAAGACTTTCAACCACTTTTTCAGAGCAAACCCAGACTGGGAAAGGAATAAAAAAGAAAACTCGCCCCCTAATTGAATTCGGTGAACAAAAAGAAAATGACACCGAGAGGTTTGATGTGGATACGTTCAGTTTAAAAGTGGAATGTTACAGTGAACCCGGGTCTTTATATTCTGGACTAATTTGGCCTGTTTTATATGGATTCCAGCATTGCTTCACCCCTGATGTTTGCCAGATAAACTCTGAGTTTCTCTTTCAGTGTTACAGCACTGCACAGAGCTGGGATTTAGTCAAGCCTAAAGCTGATCACCAATCTGGGAGCTAAAGAGAGCAGCTGAGCACCATTAAGAACTAACAAACTCCTGGCAGCTACTTTCAACCTTCACTTCACTGACACCACAGAAATGCTTTGGGAGTGCAAAACCTTCCTCTTCTGTGTTTTGTCGGTCTACATCACATCACTGGTGGTGGGTAAGTATTGTGCCAATGAAGGAGATTTGCTCTGCTGCATCATTTTTCCATACAGTTATTCTAAATATGTATGCAAAGAGGGTTGAAAGACGGAACAGGGACTGTGTTATGTGAGTTTTTGTCGCAAGTCAGTGATTACGTAACACATAGCACCATATACAAACGAGGAACTTGTCCTCTACAGTAAAGTGGGATTCTTTTTCTGCTATCTGCCTTCCAAGTGTCTTTGTATGAATCAAAGAAGAAAATGCTAATTTCACATTTTACTGGTAATACTTAATGTATTACCAGTAAAATGTCCTAAAGATGGCTGTCAAAAGTGAAGCTATTGTCCTAGCAGAAAAATGCCTGAAGTGACTAATATAGTACTATGGCTGACATTATTAGATTGTTAATCATCTGATCATTAAATATGCATAGACCTATAAAACTTGTCAAGAAGTCCCGATTAGGCACTGCTTCATAGTTGACTGAGAAATGTTGGTTAAATGTGTGTTGTAAATTACTGATGACGTTAGGGGTCAGATAAACGTAGTAGAGACAAATTTTAAATAATTACTTCCAAATATAGTAAAGCCAAAGTCTTAAAGCTGCACAGGACTGCCACACTAATTGTTATGTGATGTTTGAAGTAAAGGGGAAGACAATTGGTTATCCAGTTTTGAAAAGGTTAGGATGCTGTGCAGCATGTAAATAAAAACACAATCCAGTGATTTGTGAATCATATGAACCCACATTTCACAATAACATCAAAGGTTTAAACTGAGATAAATCTACTAATCAAAAATTGAAATTCCTTTTGAAAAACATGGACTCTTCCTTCCATAAAGAGGAAAGGGACCATCCAACTTGTCATCAGTGTTTAGTTCGAAAACCTGCAAGTCTGATGGTATAGGGGTGCATTAATGTCTGTTGAACTGGCAGCTTACACGTCTGGAAAAGCGCCATTAATCCTTAAATGTGTCTATAGGTTTTAGAGCAGCACATACACTCATCCACGCTGTGCATATTTTAGCAAGCCAATGGTAAAACACATACTGCATCTATTACAACAGCATGGCTTTGTAGTAGAAGAGTAGTAATCACAATGCTGTCAAATACAAAACCCGCAAGTTTTATTTCGTGATACAGTGAGGCTAAAACAACAACTACATAGTATGTATTACGCCCTTCTACTTCTACTAGCTTCAGATGAAAGGCAGCAAGATAATCACTGTGCTGATCTCAACAACATCACATGGCGGGAATACCAGCAGCAAAGAGTCAGACTGAACGTCCAGTATCTGCTGCTGACCAGGAAAAACATGGACTGTCCACAAGCATTCAATGAGACGTCCCTCACCATGGAGAACTCCTACTTCAACCCCTCGCGTCCTACAAAGGTTATCATCCACGGGTACAGGTGAGATCCTTATTTCGTTTCAGAGTACGAGCCTCTGAATCTTTAAATGAAACAAATGTAATAGTTTTGGACCGATCAGTGCTATTGCTATTCTGTGCACCAGTTATGTTAGAGTAACAGCCACAGTCAGTGTTGGGGAGTGACGGAATACATGTACCGCCGTTACGTATTTAAAATACAAAAAAAGAGTAACTGTATTCCGTTACAGTTACCGTTTAAAAAGGTGGTATTTAGAATACAGTTACTTTGTTGAAATAAATGGATTACACGGCGGTACTTCCCTGTTTCATATTGTGGCGGGTCAGGACTGTTTGGGTTTTGTTTGACAGCTACGTTCTGTTGTTCCAGGTGGCACGGTTACGGTTGCCATGGTTACAGGGTGACGCTCTCTTTCTGTCTGTGTTTCCTGGGTGAGAGAGCGCTTTTTTGTTGTTGTTGTTGTGCTAAACTAATCCGTTGTTCAGTGATGACACGACGAATCCTACTTCCGGGCCTAAAGTAGTCTGCGTTTAATATGGCTTTTGTGTTGTTAACATGTTTAATGTTATGTATTTTCTTCTATTTGATCTCAAAAAGCTCCTAAAACAGTCAGTGATCACTGTTGACCTCCCTCGGCTTTTATTACCGCTAATCATTTATTTAAGCTCAGCTTTTAAAACCATAGGATGTAACTACAGCCCAGCCCATGCAGCAGTATATGAATGACTAACCTCGTATTGTGGATGGATTATCTCAGTTGTTCTCCTGGCTGAAGTTTGGTCCTTTTACAGCATCCTGCCATGCGATTACATTTGTTCCTGACCACCGAGAACACTCACGTTAACTTTTATCGAGTGGAAAAAAAAGTTAGCTTGTTTATGTTATGCTAACATAGCTGTGTCGCTAGCGGTCACGTAGCACGTCATTATATACCAGCTAGCCAAACTTCAGTAACCCTACAAACGTCACTGCTGTTTAGTTTTCTGTCTTCATTTATGTTGGAAGTGATAACAGAGCTGTACGTTTTCATTTGTTTCCAAAACCCTGCAGTCAGGGCATGCTATATTGTATTTAGATAGAAGCTAGCGAGCTAACTCCCTGCTAACTTCTAACTCCGTTAAATGTCATAAATTCCGTTTTTATGGATGCCTGGATGTTAAACTCAATTGTTACACCTGGTAGAGCAGAACACTGATCATTTTATTAAAGACGAAAGATTTTAGACAGTTTTTCAACTCTCAGTAATGCCATAGTGATCGTTTGATATATGGACCTGCAGCGGAGTTTAGGCCCAGACACGGCTAGTGACGTCAGACTGAACAATCGGGCAGAATGCTCTAAAGAATGAAAAAATAAATTAAAAAAAGCTCTAAAGAATGAAAAAAAAAAAAGCTCTAAAGAATGTAGCCTCATGGGCAGTGTAGTCCGTGTTGCAGGGAGAATGGACTGCCATACATGTTATGGGTCTGTAAGCGCGAGAAGGGAGAAAAAGGCGAGTGGAAAAGTAGGAGTTGTCATCGAGCAAAAACGGGAGCTGGAAGCATGTAAATATAATAATAACCACTGCAGCCAAGAAGAGTGCCTGACGAGCCCAGTTGTAAGTAAGCTATTAAGACTCAATGCGCTGTGTTCGTGTTTTCCTCCGAAAACAATAAGTTCTGTTGGAGCAGCCTTTCAACGCCTCTCTCAAGCAAAGTTGACCCAGACAACAAAGTAAAGCTATTTTTCGGCTACGAGCCTGACACGGAACCAACGTATTAGCCAGAGGTCCCTTTACTATGGTTCGGAGCCGTGGACCTTCAGTAACAGTAATAAATCACAGCAATAATACATTCACGTAGTTGTAAAAAGCATGATAATATATTAAGTAATCCAAAGTATTCAGAATACGTTACTCTCATTGAGTAACGTATATAACGGAATACGTTACAGAATACATTTTGGGGCATGTATTCTGTAATCTGTAATGGAATACATTTTAAAAGCTCATCAGCTTAGTGTAGTTTATAAAGAGAATTTAGTAGTTATTAACTAGACTTTTAATATTAATATACTATTAATTGCCTTCTGACCTCAACCCATCCTTGCAGGGCCCGGGGGAGTAAGCCCTCCTGGGTGAAGAGGTTAGGCCAGGCGCTTTTAAGATCTCAAGATGTGAATGTGGTGGTGGTGGACTGGGTCCGCAGTGCGTCCTTTGCCTACAACCTGGTGGTAGAGATCTACAGAGAGGTGGCCATACAGATTTCTGTCCTCATCAATCAGCTGCAGGTGCGAAGCTGTTCAAATGCTCGTTAGCCACAATACGACCCTGAGCAATGTAAAGGCACAATTCATTTTACTCTTTACAGAAGTATTTTCTAGATATTATGTAGTCTATGAAAAAAATACAGAGTCTATTCTTGCGATTGTCTTCTCCAACAGAATCATGGCTGCAGACTCCAATCCTTCCACTTTATCGGGGTCAGTCTCGGGGCACATGTCGCTGGTTTTGTGGGAACTTTGTTCGAAGGGAAAATAGGAAGAATCACAGGTGAGATCAGACACCTTACATACATATTATCTCTTGCAATGTAAAACTGAATTGGAAACACAGCTGCACACTTAAAAAGTCATTGCACATGTGCTCCACCTCAGAATAATACTCCTTGTGGTGGAAATAAAGTTTAGGTTGCTGGTAGCTGGTATTGGGTTTACAGAAATAAGGAGACAACAGGATTGAAGACAGTGAAGGTTTTCACAGCACAGGCTCTCACAGATCTCAGTGAGACCCTGAAAAATTAGCAGGGCTCTTCAAAGAACAACAGTACATTGAAAAGAGACACTGTGAAGTGTTTTGACAAGGCTCAGTCCCTTTCAGCAGAGCACCACCAGCACAATACACCACTGTTCAGTTGATAATATCAGGTCTTTTTGTCTGATGACACAGACTTGTGTGGGGTTAAATCAGAGGCTTCACTGATCCCAACAAGAATAAAATTTGAAAATGACACCAAGCTGATGAATAAAGAAATTCAAAAGCTTTCACTAAATGTCCCCTTAGCTTATTGTTGATTGAATGGGTGGTCCACAGGATGGGTGGGTTGGTTAGTTGGTTGGTTGGCAGGCACAATGGTTGTTTGACTTGCTTGTTGGTTTGATGGTCAGTTAATCAGGACGGTTTTTTGGATTTTGTTATTGTTTTTTGTGACTGGTAGAGTTCATAAACTTTAAAGCTAAACTCACTGTTTACTGAACATTTAATTGAATATTTACTTTCTCTCGCTTCCTCTCTCCTACTGTTCCCATTTTTTTTTTACTCTTCAGTCCTGCCAAACCTCTGCCTTACAAACGGTCACTGAATATGTAGAGAATAAACTACAACCATAAAATCCAAACTAAAAACCTCATATAAAAAGACTAGTTATGTTCCCAGGACATGGGGACACTGTTTGACATTTTAAACACAAAGCAGGACAATGCACTAATGTGTACTACACTGACCATAGTTGAAGTTCTTTCATTATGAGACTACTGGAGAAAAATGACTCTTTTTGTTGTTTCTAGTAATATAAAATTTCATGGCATGTGCTTAATCTAAAAGATATTAAACTTTCAAACAGGCCTGGACCCTGCTGGACCCATGTTTAAAGGAGCGGACACCTATAGCCGGTTGGACCCTTCTGACGCTCAGTTTGTGGATGCCATCCACACAGACTCTGACTGTGAGAAAACGTTAACTTAACCTGCAAGTTTATTTCCATCACTAACATGGCTTAGACCACTTACTGTTGTTGTAACTACATGAAACCCCTTAGAAAGCATCATTGACAGATCAGCCAGGCTGATGACTTCTGTTTTTTTTCTCATTACTGGAAGTTATGAACAAAGAGCAACTGTGGAACTGTAACATTACGCTTTACTAAGGCACACAAAGATATGAATGTGCTTTTGTTTGAGTTTGAGGTGTGATAAAACACATTGGTTGTGCATATTATTCAAAATGCCTGATGACATCAAAGCTTTGAAAGACTCTAATGTTCTCAAGAACAATCAAATCTTCTCTTTCAAATAACACTAGCGTCCCAGTGCCACTGGCAGTCATTCAATTCAATTCAATTCAATTCTTTATTTATTTGTCACATGTAGTTATAGCTGGTACAACATACAGTGAAATGTTTTTTCTGGCTAAAAAAGTACTCCCCCCGACTGTGCAAACATGCTAAAAAGGATTTTACATAAGCTAAGAAAAAAAGGAAAAGAAACAAAAGTTAAAAGTAAAAAAATATATAAAAAAAACAATGTAAAAGTCCATATGTTTGTGCTTATAAATATATATCCATGACGTGCAAGATATTGCACTGTAATGAGTTGAATGAGAAGACTATAAAAATATACATATTTACATAGTACAGATGTATATAATAAGGTACGGATAAGGTTCAGAGAAGAAAGATAAAGTGCAAATTATGTACTGTGTGTGAGATTGTCCATCATGTTGTCCGGTTTGTGTTTTGGTTGAGGAGTCTCACAGTTTGTGGGTAAAAACTCCTCCTGAACCTTTCTGTTCTTGTTTTCAGGCTACAGAGGCGCTTCCCTGACCTCAGTGGCCTGAACAGTTTGTGGGCGGGATGGCTAGAATCCCTAATGATCCTGATGGCCCTGGATCTGCACCTTTCAGCATAGATGTCCTGCAGTGCTGGTAGAGATGTTCCCATAGTGCGTTCAGCTGTGCGCACAACCCTCTGCAGGGCTTTCTGTTGCTGTACTGTGCAGTTCCCGTACCACACCATGATGTTGTTGCACAGGATGCTCTCAATGACACCAGTGTAGAATCTCCTCTGTATATTCTTGGAGATCTTAAACCTCTTTAGACGCCTCAGGTGATAGAGGCGCTGTCTGCCTTTACTAATGAGGAAGTCCGTGTGTGTACTCCAAGTGAGGTCCTCGTTGATGTGGACACCGAGGTATTTGAAGTTGGAGACTCTCTCCACAGGGGTTCCATAGATCTGAATTGGGGTGTGAGTTTTCTCACCTCTCTGTTTTCTGAAGTCAATCACCATCTCCTTTGTTTTACTGATGTTCATGGAGAGGTGATTTGCCACACACCACTTTGCTAGTCCATCCACCTCACTCTGGTAGGCCGTCTCGTCGTTCCCAGAGATGAGTCCCACCACCACTGTGTCGTCAGCAAACTTCACAATGGAATTAGTGGGGTGTCTGGCCGTGCAGTCCGCGGTGTAGAGGGAGTAGAGAAGGGGGCTCAGTACACATCCCTGGGGGGCCCCTATGTTCAATGAGAGTGTATGGGAGTACACATCCCCTATTCTCACTGACTGTGGTCTCGTGGTCAGGAAGCTATAAATCCACCTGCACAAAGATGTACTGAATCCCAGATCTTGGAGCTTACCCGAGAGGGTGTGGGGAACTATGGTGTTGAATGCTGAGCTGTAATCTATAAACAGCATTCTCACATAGTTCCCACATCCCTCATCTAGATGGCTCAGTGTGGTATGCAGGACCTGTGCTACAGCATCTCCGGTAGATCTGTTTGTCCGGTATGCAAACTGCAGTGAGTCGAAGTCGGGAGGAAGGAGGGAACTGATGAAGGGTTTCATGAGCCTCTCAAAACACTTCATCACTACAGATGTTAGGGCTACTGGGCGATAATCATTTAGGCTGGCTGGGCGGGTGTTCTTCGGGATCGGAACAATCACTGATGTTTTAAAGCAGGTGGGGACTACCTGCTGAGCCAGAGAGGCATTGAAGAGGCTAGTGAAAACTGTGGTCAGCTGATCTGCACATACTCTTAGCACACGTCCCGGTATGCTATCTGGTCCCGCTGCCTTCCTGCAGTTTGTTGCCCTCAGAGCTCTCCTCACATCATGCTCAGAGAGTATCAATGGTGCTGGTTCAGCAGCGGGGGCAGGTGCGGAGCTCTGAATTGCTGCCACAGCAGGCACCTCGAAAAGCGCAAAAAAGGCATTGAGGTCGTCAGCTAATTCTGGTTTCATACATCTCACAGTGCTGGGTTTATAATCTGTGATTTTTCGTAGCCCGTCCCATATACGTCGGGAGTTACCGTGTTGGAAATGCGACTCCACATTGTCCTTATAGCGCCTCTTAGCCGCTTTCACAGTCTTCCTTAAACCATAAGAAGCTGCTTTGTAGCTGGTCATATCACCCGATGTGAGCCCATTTTTATAGGCAGTGGTCCGTGCTTTGAGAGCTCTCCTGACAGTAGAGTCAACCCAAGGTTTTTGGTTGGGAAAAATCCGGATTGTAGCCGAGGGGATGATGGTATCCACTAGCATTCCAATGAAGCTAATCGCTGTGTCCGCGAACTCGTCAATGTTTACGGAAGTATCCTGGAATACATCCCAGTCTACGTCACCGAGTGCGTCCTGCAGCGTCGCCTCTGATTGGACAGTCCAGCGTCTGACCTTTCGTGTCACCGGGGCTTCCTGATGAAGCCTTTGTTTATATTCCGGTGCGAGTAAGATGGCGGCGTGGTCTGATTTCCCAAAAGCCGGTAGAGAGATGGCTTTGTAGCCGCCTTTAAAAGAACTGTAACAGTGGTCCAGCGTGTTGTTGCTCTGGTGGGACAGGTGACATGCTGGTGAAAGTTAGGCATGACCTGTTTTAATTTAGCCCTATTAAAATCCCCCGCCACAATGAGGGCGGCGTCTGGATGTTTAGCCTGATGGCCGCTCAACACATCATGGAGGTCCGATAGCGCCTTGTTGTTGTCCGCTTGTGGCGGGATGTAAATCGCAGAGATGATCACAGCAGTGAACTCCCTGGGGAGATAGAATGGCCGACAGAGAATGGTGAGAAGCTCCAGGTGGGGTGAGCATGACCGGGACAGGACCGTGATATTCCAAGGGTTACACCATCTGTTATTGACCATAAAGCAAACCCCTCCACCCCGCAATTTACCGGACTCCGCGGTTCTATCCGTGCGGAAAACAGAGAATGATTCCGCCGGGGTTATCGCGTGGTCCGGCACAGAGCTGGTCAGCCAGGTTTCAGTCAGGCAGAAGATGTTGCAGTCCCTGATGTCTCGCTGGTACCTGGTTCTCGCCCTAATATCGTCCAGCTTGTTCTCAAGTGACTGGACGTTGGCTAGCAATATGCTAGGCAATGGAGGACGGTGTGCTCTGGTACGCAGCCTGTTCCGGACCCCTGCTCTTCGTCCCCTGTGTTGCCGTCTCCTTGGACTCCGGCGACCTCTGGGGTCATTGTTCTCATCACGGAGGATCTCTTTCGGCCACGACGTTGTATCAAGCACCGTAGCAGAGGTAAGTGGGAAGTATTGTCCTATGTCCAGTAGTGTGCCAAGGTCATATTGAGTCAGACCTTGTGCAGCACGAGCAAAAAGACCAATGAAAAACATAGATAGAGCAAAATAAAAGCACAGTCGTCGCGGAGCTACCAGGACGGCAGCCGAACTCAACGGCGCCATCATCACACTGCCGCCGCCGCATTTTACAGATGATGTGGGTTTTTTGGATCACGAGCTGTTCCGCGCCTTCTCCACACTTTTTTCTTGACATCATTGTAATAGAAGTTGAACTTGGTTTCATCTTTCCAAAGAATATTTTTCCAGAAATGTGCTGGCTTTTTTAAGATTTTGTTTTTTAGCAAAGTCCAATCTAGCACTTTTGTTCTTGAGGCTTATGTGTGGCCTGCACCTTGCAGTGAATCCTCTGTATTTACTTTCGTGCAGTCTTCTCTTTGGATATCGATATTTCAACCTGCTGGAGAGTGTTGTTCACTTGGTTGGCTGTTGTTGAGGGGTTTCTCTTCACCATGGAAATGATTCTGCGATCATCTACCACTGTTGTCTTCTGTGGACGTCCAGGTCTTTGTGCATTGCTGAGGTCACCAGTGCTTTCTTTGTGTTGCTGTTCACACCAAAATCTTCCAAATGCAAGCACCACACATCAAATCAACTCCAGGCCTTTTATCATTTTATCTGCTTAACTGATAATGACATAACGAAGGAACTGCCTAAACCTGCCCATGAAATAGCCTTTGACTCCATCCATCCATCCATTCGCTTCCGCTTCTTCTTTTCAGGGTCGCGGGGGGCGCTGGAGCCTATCCCAGCTGTCATAGGGCAAGAGGCGGGGTACACTCTGGACAGGTGGCCAGTCTGTCGCAGGGCCAACACACAGGGACAGACAACCATTCGCGCTCACATTCACTCGCACATTCACACCTAATGGCATTTATGTTTTTTCAAACCAAGCTTGATTTTTTTATTTATCTTTTTTTTAGCTCTAAAAAAATCAATCAGACCAATCAGAACACTGCATTTGCCAACTAGTGTGTTGTAACTCAAAGTGCACACTGGTACTGAATATCCAAATAGTAAAATAATACTATTTTACTTAAGACACGAGACACTGCTCCAGGTCTGCCAGCTCTGAGATTATTTCTCTGCCTCCTCAGATGTGGTCCCAGTTCTGCCAGCAGGAGTTCAAACTGGCCAACATGAAACATATACAAGAACTATCCAACCCTGCTGCTGCTTTGGGAACTGGATTCTGGATGAACCCAGAATGTCTCATCATGGCTTGATATTGACTTTTTTGTCACAATAGATTTTTTTAGGGTGGATTTTCTGCAAAAACAAACCCCATTCAGTGTGTGTGTGTGTGTGTGTGTGTGTGTGTGTGTGTGTGTGTGTGTGTGTGTGTGTGTGTGTGTGTGTGTGTGTGTGCATTACGCAACAAAATCTGAATTTCACATTGTTTTTTCACAATAGATTGTTGTGTAATGGTCTTAACACACAGATGCATGCATAAACATGCTTATTTATCCCCAGCATTGTTCCAACTACTTACTGCCAGACCCTCCTGTCTCTGGACAGCTAGACAAAAAGTGATTTCTGGTATTTGCCAAAAAATGATTGTAGGTTTTTAATTAGTTGTAAATTACTTGTTGGCCTATTTTCTGTGAAACATATGTCAAACATATCTCTTATGAGTGATCTCAGTTAACAGCCATTTTAAGCCAGAAAGAACATTTTGTCACCAGGTAGAAGCTACAGTCAGTTTTTGGTAAACCAACTTTAACACTCATAAATAAAATTATGTAAAATTCTCATTGATATTAAAAATGTGATTTTCAAGAGAGATCGGGCCAAGAGGGCAGCAGAAACTGCAACAAATATAACAGTTATAAAGATATTTTAAGTTGCCAAAAAAAGACTGGACTGATTATAAGGTAGAACACAGTATGTACAATAACGCAGTCATAAAGATAATTGTAAAACAGATCATTTCTTTACTTTATATATAACCCCTTTTGTAAATTCTGTTGACTGCAGACTATTTATGAATATAAGCAAAGATATTCGGTGTTAAACACGTGTGTACACACACACACACACACACACACACACACACACACACACACACACACAGAGTTACTACAAATCACTTTTTGGCACAACACCAGCTAACAGCCGAGTTTAGCTAAGTATACTAGCTAAGCTAGGTTTGAGTTTCCTAAAAATCACACTTTACCTCTGATAAACAGTTTGATTACATTCTCGCATCCTGAGACTTTGTTCGCTCATGTGTCCATGTCCAAAAGTGTTACATTCACTTCAAAGAAAGTTTCACTAGTAACAGCTAACAGAGACTAACAGTAGCTAACAGTAACTAACAGCAGCAAAACCAGCAACGCTTCCACATATCTTTACCAACTCACCTCACTCACCACTCTATTTTTTCTGTCTAATAAAATGTCCTAAAAGACTGTATTATTAGTTCATTGGAAGTCTTTTGTATTTATTAACACTTGTATTACAGCTGATAAAATCACATTGTGTTTATACCTGAAATTTTGTTTGCAGTGCAATGTAGCAACAAATTGCTGACAGTTTTCTTCTGTATCAGATTTTGGCATCTCCATCCCTGTTGGCCATGTGGACTTCTTTCTGAATGGAGGGAAGGACCAGATTGGATGTGCACGCTCCAGGTTTGACTCAAGTAAGTTCAAGACCCACTAAAACAAAAACAAAAAGAGAGGGGGGAACTAGAAGGAAAGGATCTCTTTTTTTGTTGTTTTCACATTGGTGTCTTTCGCCCTTGTTTTTTTGTTATAAATGAAATTCCAGTTACAGATGAGTAGATTTTGAGCAGAACCAGTTTTTCGTCTGGACATTTTTTCCCATTACTTTAATGAGAGTCTCTGGACATCTGTCTCCCTTAGAAGTTCAATATTTTGTCAGTTTTCTTGTATTTTTTAGTGTACAGTTATGTGATATGTGACCACATGAGGGCGCTGGACGTCTACATGAGCGCGCTGAATGGCTCGTGCCCGTTAATGGGGATCCCGTGCTCCAACTATGAGGACTTCCTGAAGGGACGCTGTATGGACTGCGACATCTTCAGAGGGAAATGTCCAGTAATAGGTAATAACACGTGGGTGACCACCTGCAGCACACGGACTGCTGCTGCTCCCTTTTATCTGCTGTTAGTTTCTAACTATCCTGTGTCTTACTGTGAAAAGCTGTGAGTGCATATTTTGGGAGTGTCATTTGTCTCTACAATAAAAACGTTTCTCAGCTCGAGATTAATATGACACTGAGTTATAAGTTATATTAATAGTCCTGCAGCCTATAGTGCTGCCCCATTATTTTTACAAGACTTGCTGCTGTCAGTGGTTCTTCCATTCTATTGCAAAACACTTGTTCCAACAATACAGTCTATTAACTATAAAGTAAATCTTAAGTATTTATAAAGTTGTTATGACATTTCACTTAAAGTAAACTGGATAGGTTCTTTTTTGCTTCCACCTCCAGTGGAGCCGACACTGTCACGTCGGCTTTTGACAGCTTCTTATTGTTTCAGCTTAATATACTTCTACATACTCATACAGACATAGTTAATGCACGTGAAATTACTTTTGACTCATTCCTTTTAATTATGTGTGTTCCAGGTTTATCAGAAAACAGTGGGATATCTATATCTCCCATTCCCAAAGAGCAGACGCTATTCCTCCTCACGACTTCTTCACAGCCATATTGTGGTGAGTGTTGCAGTGTATTTGTGAGACGGCGGAATTTTTCATTTTTTCTTAAAAAGAAATGTTATCTTCTTGAATCTCCTGTTAAGAAAAATTTAAAACTCTTGAGTAGTTTGAATGACGTTCATTAGACTTAACCTCTCGTCACTACACATAGAAGGCAGCTAAATTATTTTAATCATTTATGCACTCTGACTCTTCCCTACCAACCCACCAATAGCAAGATTTCCTCTACTAAACTAGCACGGTTTAACAATTCCTGTTTTACCGTACTTTAAAATGACATTTTTCCCACTGTTTCCCTGTTCAGCTCACCACATCCTGGTGGAGTTGGAAGTTTCGAAACTGGATAAGAGCGCTGAGATTGAAGTGACCCTGACAGCTGACATCCTGGAAACAAAGCAGATCCTCAGGCTGTAAGTATCACAAATACCATACGCATGTCATATTGCAAAGATCCTACTCTTTAAAGTTAATGAATAGTACAATATGTACAGTTGGATGTACTGTATTCAGTTCCATACCTAAAAAGAACAAATTAAAAAATTAGGAATGACCAAAACTCATCGCTAGCAGAAAAATCTGACTTTAAAAATGTCTGCATTCAGGATCTGAATCCCTGAACGTGCACTTTATTTGGTAAAGTATATCAACAGTTTCGGCGTTCCCAAAAAAGCATCTGTTCTTGATGTTGCGGATCCCACATGAGGTGACTGCATCATGTAGGTTTTGTACCTGTGCATCCTTGATCTCCACTTCTGTTACATCCCAAAGTGTCCTTCTGAATTCAGAGCAGGTTATGGTCTCATGAGCACGTCACTTTCATGAGACCCGTTTGAGAAAGCAGCTTTTTGCTTTGTGATGTTTAGCATTATCCTGCTGGAAGCTGCCATTAGAAGATGATAAGTTGGGGCTATATAATGATGCACATGTAGGCTGATGCTTATTTGGTATCAAGAGGCTCAAAGTGCCTAAATAGTTGATTGAAGACATACAGTAAAGGAAGGTGAGCTGAGATTTCAGTAACTGTTGAATAAGACCACATGATAAAGATAGTTGTTCCTGTGTTTACAGAGACTAAAAGACAGTGATGAATATTGGTAGTATTTTCATACCAGTTTGCAGGTAAATTAAATTCAATAGGAATGTATAACAAGTCATTCTTTGTAAGCAATTTTTGTGTGTTGTTTTTTTTTGTGTTCACTTTTTATTTTATCAGATGTATTGTATGGGTAGAATAGTTCAGATGGGAAAAGTTTTGGGAAAACGTGTTTTCAGAGCACAAGTTTAGTGAGTTTAGTCATTTTTTTATTAAATCTGAAGAATGGCACCACCTTTGTTTTAGCTGTGACTTCCCAGTATGATAAATGTTGATTGTGTGAAAGCGCCTGTCTCATCTTGTGTGGTTTATTATTTTCACATGCACTATATGTGTGTATTACAGTCAGACAGATACAACAGTGTACAGGACGGTGATGGCTCACTCTACCCCCCAGTGTGAAATCAACTCCATCAGGCTGACAAACACAGGAGCTCGCTTCTACAGACAGGCAGAGATCCACGTCAAGTCTGTCTGTGTGACTGAGTTTCCCTCTCTCAGGTAGGACGCAGACACAACATGCACATAAATACAGTTCAGTTCAGCCGCCGGTCCTATTCTCATTGAAACAAATACTGGACTGCTTTTTTTAATATGTTCTGTAGCACATAAAAAGTCAAACACAACATTTACCAATGAATTTTAACAAGGCACGATTTACAGGCAAACACCTGTATGCTCAGCATATGCTACAATTGCTTATTCCATCCATCCTTTCCATTTTCTTAACTGCTTATTAGGGTCATCGGGGGGCTGGAGTTTATCCCTGCTGTCTTTGGATGATAAATTTGCCAAAATATGTAAACACACAGCTTCAGTTTGTTGTTATTGCAGTTTCCTGTTACAGTACTTTGGACAAACAGAAGCAAACGTTGCTGCAATGAGTCAATGAAGGTATAGTTTTCAGCAATACATGTTGTTGTTTTGTCACCCAAAGCCTTACAGCAAATTGCTCTACAGAAATGCCAGCGATGGTGTTCTCTCTTTAGGTAATTAAGAAACAGGGTAAACGGACATACTAGAGAATAGTGTCAGGTCTGTCAGCTGTTTAATGTGCCAGTCCTGCAGTCTGCTGAAAGGTTATGTCATGATATGAGAGAGAGTTGAAACCAGACCGTGCCAGTAACACACAGTGTTGTCCAAAATGTAAAATCCATTCATTCTGTCCTTTTTGTCCCACCCTTAGGTTGGCATAAACCTGAAATGACCCTGAAATGAGTAGTTTACAGAGCATTACTGTTCCTCAGAGATCACCAGTGGGCGGCCTTCTCTTTGTGATCAGAAGCTGGAAGTTGAGTTACTTGAGCTTCAGATCAAATCTAACCTTTTGCAGAAAGTGTGAATTTGGCCAGTATCAAAAATGTGCTTAAAGTTGCTTAAATAGTTCTTTATTTCACTTCGGGGAGTGTAGAGAGCTGACCACATGATTCATGATTGCGCCATCTCGTCTCTCACCCCAGTGTTTCCTGTTTATCTCGCCTCTCTTTCTATGAACAAAAAAGGCTAACAGGCCAACATTAATCGTCCTAAAAATCAGTATTTGGACACTGACACCATGTTTGTAATTTTGCCTCTGTACACCACCACAAGGGACTTTAAATCAATCAAGAAATGATTGTAGTGCAGACTTACAGCCATTTTCAGAAGCTGAAAAGTAATTGGACAAACTAATATAATTTTAAATATAAGGACTGTTTTTAATACTCTATGAAAATCCTTTGTGGTCAATGACTGCCTAAAGTGTAGGACTCATGGACATTACCAAAGCCTACAGCTGCCTTCAGATGCTGCTTCTTTGTGAGTGTCTTTGCATTTAGTTTTATCTTCAGTAACTCAAAAGCATGATCTGGTCATGCTACAGAGTCTACAGAACTGTGCAGACTCTTTCAGATGTTTTTCTAATCGGTCTAATCTGGCCTTACTGTTCTTGAGAATAATCAGTGGTTTGCACCTTTTTTGTATTTCCATTCATGAAGGTCGACTTTGACAGTTATTTGCAGGGGTGCACATAAGTGGTCCGCAGGTGTGCATGCGCTGTCAAAATAAAAGCCGCGCACCAGATAAAAAATTGCAACGCGCGTTTGTGTGCATGTAAAAGGCACTGTTTTTGTCCGCTACCGTGGGATTTTCACGGCATATTCTGCACCACATCTCTATGCGTTCATCATTTGTTTGAAACCAGCTCACCTCCTGCAACCACTTTTCTGAGAATACGCGCTTCTTTTGCGGTTCGGACTCCTTCTGACATTTCTTTGGAGGTGGAGGAACACCAAAGTAACTGCTTAAAGGAGTTAATGGGGTTTAAGAGAGGAGGAAATGTCTTATGTACGCAATCGCGCATTGCAACTTCTTATCTGGTGCGCGTCTTTTATTTTGACATCGCATGCACACCTGTGGACCACTTATGTGCACCCCTGGTTATGTGTCTACCTCCCTGAGAGTGTTCTTGACTCAGATGTTTTTCTTTACCTTGATAATAATTTTCCAGTCATCTACTTCTTCTGTCTTCCATGGTCTTTTGCTGGTACTGCTGATTGGGCAGTAAAGTCCTCCTTTATTTGTTTAAGATCATTTCTAAAAAATTTTCTTTCTTCTTCAAATTTTCAAATGCTAGACTGGTGAGCTGTCCAGGGTGCACCTCGCTTCTCTCCCTGTGATAGCTGGGATTCTGGCATAGTCTCCAGGATCTGCTTAATTTGTCATGGAATTATAGGAAACGGGGCTCATTTGGCCATAAAAACTGTTTATCAATTGTCCAGTTACTTTTGAGCCTCAGAAAATGGGCACTGCATATAAAAATGTCAGTGATTCCTAAACAGTTACTGGATTCTTACAATGAATATGCTACATATATTCACTTGGACTAAAGTCTGTTTTGCACAAGTGTGTGTTTTTGTTTTATTCTTTCAGGCGCAAAGATCCTGTGTGTGTGAACAACATCAACATCAAACGGGGAGCTCGGTGGTCCCACGACCTTGTGCAGTTGTGTGACTTCTAAAGAGAATGATCTCCTCGACAACAATTGAAAAGTGCATAGTGTGCAGCAATCTGACCTATGAAGATACTAACACAGAGATGGTTTCACATTTTTATACCTTGTTTAATTTTGAGAAAATATCATTGGAGTTCAACCTCAGGGGGCTGAGCCTTATATTTTCTAACATCATGACTAAAACTGGGGGGAAAAAGGTTATTTACATTATCAGTATTTCTGGTACAATATTATTAATATTATAATTATCTTTCTTTTTTGCCTATACTCACTAAAGCGTTGAAGTGTTAATGAAACCAAACAGTCTAGTTTCACATCCTAAACCCTTGTTTTTTGTTCTTTTAGCATTAAATGCAGCAACAAACTCTTAACCATGTCTTTCTTTTCTCCTGATTTCAGGGCTAAAAGGATTTGTCCTTTTGCACTGAGGTGAATCTGTGTGTACTTTGACTTTTTGGGGGTGGAACATAAATCATTTTGAGCATCATCACAGTGCTACATAGTGCGGTTGGGACAGATATGACAGGAAGCTAACAGTCAGAAAATAAACAACTTAAATCATCTGGAGAAATCTTGGCCCCATGAAAGAATGTTTTCTAAATACTTAGACTTCATTTTAGTCTCATCACTCGTCTTTTGAATTCAATAACACACAAATACCGTGATTCACATTATGCCTGTGTATTAAACACACCAATGTTTAAAAACATTTTTAAAAAATCAGGCTTCTAATATATATCCACCAGAGAGCATGTAAAAGGATGAATTTGGTAATCTGATCACTAATCTAAACATGACACATCAAAACATTGCAGTGAAATGGTAGAAGACAACAGAACCAGTTGGCAGGTAAAATGTTCCAGACAGGTCTGAAAAGATCAAGGATACAAAGCCAAATGCTTTCCAGAGCTTGAAGGAAGATTTGATTGTAATGTACATCTGCCAATGTTAAGCTGTTTCATAACTTAAATCATGTATTGTCAAAGCTATTTAAAATCAGACCCAGAAAATGTGCAGCAACCCTCCTACATTACATCAACATTCATTAAAATAATTATTATTTATTTGTGAAGCAAATTTCCAAAGTGAAATGTAACATTAAATCACGTGAAAATCAAATCTGAATAAAAAACAGTTCCAATCTGAAATGTAAGCAAATTTAGTCACATAATATGAAATGACATTTTAGACATTAAATGTGCTGGTAGGTAACAAAGTGAAGGCTGCCTGTCCTCAGTTCTACAGTGCCAATCAATATGATAGTGTAAATATGATTTTATTTGGGGCCTAATTCATAGATGAGGACATGTTGATAAAATATCAGCAAGATAGCATGTCTGCTGGAGAGATCTTTCTCTGAGTCTTTTAATTTGTTAAACATGTGATTTTATAGTCTATTGTATTTAAAATGTTAAAGGCAGATTTCAGACTCGTGGTAGAGAGGCCATGAAAGATCAGATACACTGCAACTGAAGAAAACACCAGCAAATGGAAAAATGTAGCAAAAGCACAAAAGAACACAATGGAAGCGCTAATTAGCATTAGCAAAACAGAAAAAAATAAAGTGGAAAAACACTGCAAAAGCTTACCAAAACAACAACAAAAAATACCCTCACAAAATACTGTTTTTTGGAAGACATTAAAGTGACAGAATAGCTGCAAAAGTGCCAAGCTAACAGTCAACGGCTAATAGCAAACATGTCGCTACAGTATTACATGAATCATGCAATTAAAACACACATTACCTGGATCATTTTCTCCCTCACAACAGAAACAAGTTTTTGTTTGCTGAAGAGATTTACCACTGAAACATTTTTCAATGGGGTCAGTAACATCGCAAGCAAAATAATACGAGAAGGCCCAAATTGAGATTCACTAGCTTAGCTATAATTGCATTACATGCTAATTAGCATAAAAATATTAATTGTGAAGCATAATTTTGGCTGTTTCACACACACAATTGACCATGTGCACCGTGTACTGTGGCCGTAGGATCACTGCAAAATTCTACAACAAAATAACCGGCGCACACTGAACCTGACTTCTGCTACTATGGCTAGTAGCAAACATGTATCTACAGTACTGTATGAAGCATGCGATTAAAACACATTACCTTCCAACTTTTCTCCCTCACAACACAAATAAATTTTCCGCTTCTTTTAAACGAGTCTCAGTGCAATCCTTCATGTTTAGGTTTCTGTCACTTTCACAAATTATTGTCTCCCAAAAAACACTTATGTTGTGAGATTTTGTTTTTTTCTACTTTAATATCTGTTGAGTTTTATTCACTTCCTTCATGTTTTATTCAACTTCTGTGTTTTGTTTTGGCTTTTTGCAGCATTTTTGTGCTTGCCAGTGTTGTCTTAGGTTGTAGGTCATTTACGCTCTCAGGGTCACTGTATTTTGGGATAGCATGGCCTAAAGGCCTAAAGACTAAATGGTAACAAGGAAAATGTTAACACTCCTAAATAATATGTCAAACTGTTAAAAGATGTCAGTAAGGTTTGTTGTATGACTTAAATTTTAATTCAAATAGTTAAATGTTAAGAATTTATATTCTTCATACTCTGGACTGAAGAACAGGAACAGAGAAAGAGGAGGAGATGGTATAGTAGTGTTTCCAGGAGAGACGTCTCACAGTTTAGGGGTTTCAGTGGGAGCCAGCGGCGCTCTGACCCTCTGGAATCGAGGTGGTAGATTCCCATCACCTCCTGCAAAGCCAACATCAAAGCTTAAATTTAGTTCCATTAAGTTAAGATGGATGCGATCTTGCAGCAAACTCGTGTCCACACCAATTTCCTAATTGCATTACAGATGACGAAAACATGTTGCGCTCCTATAAAGTGAAACAGTAATAAGTAGCAAACTAGAGATACTCTTGTAACAGGATCACACGTGGCATGATGTTCTTGGATACCAACTGGCTGCTGAGAGAAGTTTAAGGGATGTCTGCCAAAAAAGCCTTACTAGTAGACAGAGTGCATTTGGTTGTAGTGGATCCCTTGACAAGCACTAGATTTTTGCAGCAGTGTTGTTTCCTTGGTGAAACTAAATGTTGGTCTTATTTCTATTTTAGACGTGGTTGGCTTTTTTTTTCTCAGTTAATTTGTGGTTAGATTTAGGCACCAAAACCACTAGGGCCTTTTCATGATGTTAACCAGCTGTTAGGAAGCTTTTCTGTCATAAAACTCTAAAGGCAATAACACCCACCAATTGTCACCTTTGGCCTTCGTTTTGATGTAAGCCACACAGATGTAACAGTTCTTGCACAGATGAGATGAAATCTGTCTCAGTGTGTGCCAAAATACTCAAAGCTACCTTTGTAGTTCCTCATTAATTGCAAGAAAAATTGTCAATATTTGATTGCCCCAAGTATTTCTTTTCTGTGATACCCAAGGATGTCCAATCTAGCGCTACAGTTTTGCAGTACAAAGAGACACTGTGGCACTAAGTCAGGGGCGGGGAACTCCAGGCCTCAAGGGCCGGTGTCCTGCAGGTTTTAGATGTGTCCTTGATCCAACACAGCTGATCTAAATGGCTAAATTACTTCGAGAAGCCTGGTAATGAACTAATCATGTGACCCAGGGTGAGATCTGAAACCTGCAGGGACATCGGCCCTTGAGGCCTGGAGTTCCCCAAAACTGCTGCAAGGAGTCACGGGTGAAAATAATACCAGAAGAACCAAACTGAGATTCCCTAGGTTGGTCATAATTTCATTAAATGCTAATTAACTTAACTATATAGAATTGACTATGTGCACCCTATGGTCACTGCACTAGCTGCCTTGATGCCCTTATCATGTAGGTTATAAAACAAAATAATGGGCATGCATTAAACCTTTCCATTTGTCTAGGTTCAAAAGCAGGGCTGGGCAACTCCAGGCCTCAAGGGCCAGTGTCCTGCAGGTTTTAGATCTCACCCTGGGTCAACAGACCATTCATTACCAGGCCTCTGAAGAACTTCAAGACATGTTGAGGAGATAATTTAGCCTTTTGAATCAGCTGTGTTGGATCAAGGGCACATCTAAAACCTGCAGGACACCGGCCCTCGAGGTCTGGAGTTCGAGACCCCTGTTCAAAAGGTTGTTGACCCTTTTCCCTCTTGAATACTTGAGTGGATTTTAGCATTTACACTCTCAAGAAACTACTGTGCTTGCCTGTAAATAGCCAGACACTACACGGCAAATATCTGCAGTATACTTGTTCTGTGTTCATATTATTAATGTCATGAATGTGAATGTTGAATGCTGGTCACTGCCTGCTGTGATTCAGAGGAGCAAACGGCTTATGTTTTTCTTCAGTTCCATTTCAGTTTACGGTTGCTCATCCACTCACACACAGACCCACAGATGCGATGACTATGATACATTTGTGTGCAAGAAGAGGATTTCTTTCCTTGTAGTGTCCTGATTTTTGAAATTTTGTGAGCATATGATTGCTTGTCCAACCCGCTTTGAAGTCATTGACTCCAATCTGAACTGAGAGGTATGCTGCAGCTATGACAGATTTGACCTGCTGCTTCACAGCTGCTGTGCAACCCAAGCCTGACACTGACTCCACTGTCCAGCTGTGAAACGTGATCCTCCACCTGTGATTGGGCAGGGCAGACAGAGATGGAGGGGAGGGGTGAACAGATAAGCAGACAGAAAGCCAAAGGGTGGGGACACTGGATTAATAGCATGGCACGGAATTTTCTGAACATCCCCTAAATTTACAAGCTCTAATCCTCGTCAGATAAGGACACAGCTGGTGCCTGCCCAACCTCAACAAAGCCTCATCATCATGTAATGAGACAGATGAGAAAGTAAAGAAACAATTCCCCACAGACACACACACACACGGAAAATACACCCACACACAAGGCCCGATCGACTGTCTACAACCACAGTGGGCCCACTCTATGTTCATTTGTTAAAGTGTTTTCACTATTTACAGAGAACAAGTTTAACTCTGCTAACTGTGCCAGACATAACTAAGCATGTGAGCTGTGTGGCCAAAGCACACTAATGCATAGCAGCTGGCAGGGAGGGAGTTCTGATTTTAAAGCATGGGAGGAGGCCAGCAGAAAAGAATTCCAGCCACCATTTAATGGCAATCTACCATGAGCATGAACTAGTTAGAAAGTTTTTAACAAAAAAAATACAAGTGCAATGATTAGTCAGATTTATTGTATATGTTGAATACTTTTAAATGCAAAAGAATTCCTCTCAAGATAAATGAAATAAGGGGAAAAGAGTCAACTTTAGAGCAAAATGACCTTTTAAATCACCTGTTTCGCTAGTGCTGGATGATGTGATGGTGCATTGAACAAATGTTGGCTAAATTAAGCGATCCAAACTATTAACTGTGTGCTAGCTGTAATTTAATTTTTT